GCCAAGATAACTCACATTTAAAGGGGAATTGGGGGGAGAAACGAGCTCTATTGTTGAACGAGTGCGTGGTATTGGTGCAGTTTGACGCAGGCAGAAAATGAGTCTAAATAATTGCCCCTTATTTTGCAAACCAAGCAGCTGTGCCAGTCTTGAGGTTCTGTGTGAATTTTGGGATCGAGTTGTGATTTGCCACACGCTCCTTTTATTTTTCAGGGTTGATTCGGGGAGAGACACAAGACAATCGAAAACTCAAAAAAAAAAAAAAAAAAGCCAACTTCCCCCGGCACGCATGTAAAAATGACTCACGCACGCAACGCACATGCATCAGCGTGTGCTTGGACGTTTTGCGTGCAGCCTGGTAATAATAATAATAATAATAATAATTTGTGAGCTTGTTCTTTGTGCTTTTTCAACGTAATTTAAAAAGCAGTGATTGTTCAGAAACAAGAGGCCTTGCGTAGATTTTAAAGTAGTAGGTAGAGTTTTTCATGCCCTAAACGAAGCTGGTCTGAAAATAAATTAAGTAGATATCCCTTATAATTATCTTCATTTAAAACTTTACAATTACGAACGAAAAACGTAACGTTTGAGACAGTAAAAAAGTAGTAATCTTTTATTTGAACATTAATATACATTTCATTGCAGTTAGCTAAAATTATTAGAATTATGCCCCGCCGTCATAAGGTGTGTAAATCCATGCGCCCAGTGACCCCTGGAAGCGATTTGACCCGAGCAAAGGTTTCCTAGGACCTGGCCAGATGACTAATGACTGCGCTGCGATTTTTTGTCGGAGCAAGAGGTATCCAACTGAAGAAATTTCCGCATGAGAACAAAAAATACTGTCATGGAGAAGAATCCCCATAAACAGTTGCTTTCTTGAGAAAACGGGGGCAATTTATCACTGCTGAAGAAAATGAGGGCCCTTATCGGAACCGAGGAGTTAATTGGGACGGAAATTCTGTCGATATTTTGGGAAACTTGGAAAGTTAATTTAAGCTACTTTTCCTCCTCCTCTCTATCACAAAAAAAGAAAACATTTAATTCTAAGTTCTTACAATAAGAACTTGCATCTCATCATGGAGTTTTTTACGGAAAACGAAAGGTAGCCATGGAAAGGAAAAAAAAAAAAAACATTCAGTAAAGTTTCACAAATGTACCGTTTAGGGTTAAAATTTAAAGCATACATTTCAACACACACAAATTAATGAAGAAGTTTCTCCTCCTTGATGCTTCTTAAAAACCAGGAGAGGGAGCCAGGTGCAAGGATTTGATTTTGGAAAAAGCACGAAGTGACATTAGAAAACTTTTGAAGACATCATTCACGTACAGTTGTCACAAATGAGTTGTGGGTGACATTTGCTCAATTTCGTTTTTATTATTATTATTATTATTATTATTATTATTATTTTGCACTCCGGTAGCAGTCCCAGCAAGTTGGAGTGTGTTGTTTTTTTTTTCAAAGCATGTTTCACACACACACACGACATCTGTCAAGAACTTACATCCACATTCTCATTCAGGAACCAAACAGGACGATTAAAACATAAACACTGGCTCGTGTATAAATTGAGTCAAGCGGGACTAGATATACTCACCAGGGAGAATAGCGCTTTAGAAGTAGTAATCCACTATCTGCAGACGATATCGATGAAATAATCCCAGATCTGGCCAGGTGGATTTCAGGTTACTGGAGGCAAACTTCGCTTTTTATATCCGGATCTCTTGGAAAAGTGCTTGATGAGGCCGAGAGTTCTTCTGTTTTCGAGTTTTTAGTGTGCAGGATCGCCCCACAAGTGTATCTATTAAAAGCGTTCCGTGCGCTTATAGCAGCTTAAAAGTCTGGTGAAAACAGTTCAATGCACGAAAAAAAAAATGCATGTATCTATATATATATATATAAAACAGTGAAAGGAAATTACTTCCTTTTACTTACTTTTACAAATTATGCGGCAGAGATTACTAAATAAAAGCCAAAGTGCTACTGGTAGATTGTCCTACTTTGTCGATTTACGTCTGGAGTGAAGCCACTCACTTATTAAACCTCATCTATATCAGAAACAAACAAACAAACAAAAAAAAAACAATCGAAAAAAAAGAGAAAAAAAAAACATTTCATGCACATAGGATCCAGCCGCTTCAGCCGCTCAAGTCATAGCGCTCTTTACCTGCAGAAAGATCCACACGGTGATCCTCGCCACACACGACTTGTCAATTTACCTTCCATTCCGCAGTGCGCTTATAATTCCCTCAGCCTGAGTCAAAAGTTTGCACACGAGAAAAAAATAAATAAATAAGTCCACCGCTGAACAAGTTGCTGGGGTAAAAAGGAAAAGGACAGAAAAAAAAAATAATAAAAGGTCTAATCCAGGCTGTATGCTCCAAAGAAAGAGAGACAACTTTCCCCTATCTTCCAAACGGTGCGGCTTGGCGAGCGCGCGCGGTGCCAAGAGGACAGAGCGTGTGAAACAGCGGCGTCTTTAGCTGGCTCCGTGTGCTTTGTGCTCCCACGCTCTATGTGTGCGTCTGGTTACGTTCAAGTGCAGAAAACTAGCCCTCCCTCCCTCTCTCCCCTGCTCTCTCTCCCCCTTTTCGCTTCTCTCTCACCTGCTCCAGTTGCCTCCTCTCCCGTACTTGCACGGATGCGCTGCTCGACAAGAAAAGAAAGAGAAATTCTTCAAAGCGCATGCGCTTCACATCTATACCTATCGCTTTCTTCCAACGACTAGCTTTTTAAGAAGCAAAGAATTTCAGCAGAGGTAAAGTTGCGCAGGGAGGGTGGGCAGAGAGAGAAAGAGGGGGAACAGAAAGGAGGGCGGAAAAGGCTGTAACAAAACAAGCGTCTCTATTACCTAAAATAAACTTATAAAGCACCCGCGGCTATTAGCCCATCCATACCAGGGCAGAGTCGGAGATTTTCACCGGCTGTGTATCACGTTACCGCTCCAACACAATCAAGACAAGTAGATCCACACCGTGCGCTGCTTACACAAGCCAATCTCATCACCTGAAGGCCTGAGTGCTTTACGGTCCTTGCGGTAGGCCTAATTATTATTTTTATGGCACTCTATCTGAAAACAGGCTGCCGAAATCTAGACGCTTCCAGGTCGATATTTTTCAATCAGGCCGACGCCGACAGTTGGGGCAAAGTGGGTAATAGTTTCACACAGGAAGTCTACGAATCGGCCGTGCTCGCTGAAGGCACCTCTGATGTAAATTCCGCCCGAAAAGGATTCCATATGGAAAGAGAAAAAAAAGATACAACAACCTCCATTTATTGTCCATTTATTTCTTAGTATTTAATCTCCATTTATTGAAAATTGTCATGTCTGTGCTGTGATTCTCGTGTTTAATATAAAAAGTTATCTTCATAATAGTTTTGTTTCTGTGAAGTTCTTGACGTGGCTCTGCTGTCAAGAACTTCACTTTACTTTAGGTGATACGCAGGTGCATCTGAATAAATAAGAGTATGATTGAAAGTTAATTTATGTCTGAGAAATAGCAATAAAAGAATTATGAAACTCTCTAGACTGATACGTCAATCATTTATTTCTGTCAGTTTTTATGAACATGGTTTACAGATGATGAAAATCCAAAATTTCAATTTCTTGTAAAATTCAAAATGTTATGTTTGTGTATTTTATATATATATATATATATATATATATATATATATATATATATATATATATGCCCAAGTTATTTTAATAGTAGCCTTCTGCTTGTCTGCATTGTTAGATTTTAAGTCTAGATTTGACAATACTCAGCAGAATCTCTGTTAGGTTGAGATGAGTGGAATTGGTGGTGCTGACTTTGGACTTCATAAAACACAGTGGACCGACATCAGGAGATTTCACAGCTCCCCATATCACCACGGACTGAGGAATCTTCATACTGGTTCTCAGGCAGCTGAGATTTTCTGCCGCTCCTCTACCCCTCCAGACCCTGGCACTTTAAACTCCCAAATTAAATGCAACATTGTCTTTCATTTGAAAAGATGTTTTAGTCAGACCCTTGTCTGAGCGTGGTGCTTCATTCATCCATAGTCCACATTTTGTGAATCTTTCCCAAATGGATATAGTGGATTTATTTCAGAAGCTTCTCAAGGCTGCAGTTACCGCTGTTGCTTGTTTTTCTACCATCTGTTTTTATTTCTCTAACCTTTCCTTGTTTGGACATAACACACAGTTAACAGGTTAATTTCTTACTATTTATCTTCTGTGGTGTTGCTTTCTTGACTGTTGTGCCAATGCTTGTCTCAGGGACAAGTGGTAGGTCAGCTGCCTTCCCCATGACTATAAGCCATAGCCCCATACAGCACATCATTTATTTATTACAAATCTTTTTACGTTTTTTTTTTTTTTTTTGTCACTATACCATATTCTAATTTTATTAGAAACAAACATTCTGCCTTTAATAGCCAATAAATTAGATTTCTTGAAATGAATTACTGAAATAAAACTACTCTTAATAATATTCAAATTTATTGAGACGGAGGTGGAAGGATACATATTTTTCAATAGATTTTGTATCAAATGGTGTTAGATCAGCAGTAGGAGGGGTAGAGTACCTTATGCTGCTAAGCTTCAAAAACATGTTGATTTCATTTTCCACCTGCTCAAACTGCCAAAGACTGGTTTTATTGACAATGGTGTTATTGTGCTTAATTGGCCAGCAAACCCACCTGACCCCATAGAGATTCTATAGAGGAGTGCCAAAAGGAAGATGAGACACAATCCCAAACAATACACATGACCTGAAGGCACCTATCAAGCACTGAGAACAGCAGAACTGCAAGAAAACCTGATAAGTATGATAAAATGTCATAATCATTCATTATGGTGACAGATGATGCACATTTTTTTTTACAAATCCATTAAAAAACAAATCTGTAACAAATATAAAAAGAAAATCTGCTGCGACAAAATGATTACACAAATGTCCACAGCCTAAACTTTTACACGTCTTTAAGTTATGCACCTGTCAAACTCTTTTCTATTTTGCCATGCTTGCTCATGCTTTAAAAAAAAAAAAAAAAAAAGTATGACGTGGAATTATTTTGTGGAACATCAAATTCTGTCATGTTTTGATGAATGTTTGTTGCCTTTCATGCACTTCCACTGTTAAACGTGCATGTATACTGAGAACAATGGAGTGACACAAAGAGGTTCTTGCGTGTCACGACTGGGCACATTATTAATTCATGACGTTGCTGTCTTGTTTTTTTTTGTTTTTTTCACATTAAAGGGTCAGCTGCTTTATGAGTCACTCCAAGTTGCTCAATAATGATTTGCCATGTTATTCAGAAAGCAAGTGATGGCTTGTCTCCAGGTTAGCCGAACATCTGCATGATGCGGTGATGTCTTTCAGTCATTGTTGTGATATTCATGTCCCAGATACCTTATTCCATGCCATGCACAGGTGTATTTTACAAGACTTTTGTTGGACATAGTAAATATCTGTAGAAACTTTGATATATTCAAATAATTTATGACATTGAGGCTCAGCTGGTGATCAGACAGCATGTTACAATGCTAAATGCAAAATAAGTTGATCTGCAGGCAGCTAAAAAAAACAAAAAAACAGAATTTAATGGGTTTTTGAGATGCTTACTAATGTTACTAATTTTAAATATAGGCTCTTTAAATCAATGTGGAAATAATGCATATTTTTTTCAATCAAAATTTACCCAAGTGCATGATTTCTTTTATCATTTTATTAATGTTCCATATACAGTTTCGACAAAATAGAGGGTTGCATGTCAAAAAGGTAATGTTAAAAACCTGTCACTATAGATTTGCTGCAAAGAGTAAGTACCACTTTCTGCTCCTGTGAGTGAAAATGATCAATGTTGCTTTTCCAGATTTGCCAACTGGAAAAGCAACAGATTTTTCACAAAGAACCTAAGAACGATCTCTACAGAACAGAAACTTTATTAGCATTTGAAATTTAGCATAAAGTGCTTTCAAACCTCCATGACTCCATAGTTTTGGTTCCAGCCATGTTGGATGCTAGGGGGCCATGACTGCATCAGAGAACACTTAAAAACATGCTCAGCCACATTTCAGGATCCCCTCAGCCCCTCCTCTCTCTTCCACCTCCCTGTCTCACTACGTCCCCTTCCATCCCCCCATGTTGCCTGAGGAAGAAAACTGGGCAACATCTGGCTGAGTTTATGAGGTAGAGGGAGAGAGAATTGGTAGACCATGAAAACTAGGAAGAATTTGTCTTTTTTTTTTTCAGCCTGTGCAGCAGGCCATTGTTGTAGCTGCCATTGGAGGCGGCGATATTTTAATCCTGTGAAAATGCAGAGCTTCGTGATGAAATTTACCAACAAGGCCTCTGATGTCATTCTGATAAAAACACATGTTGCCACTTACGTTAAAAGTTTTATTCAAACAACGTGAACAAACTGAAAGCTGCCAAACATTGTGGAATGAGCCAAGGGTGAATACTGTTACCCCCAGACTTTCACAGTCACTACAACTGAGTGAGCAGGACCCAACCACACACACACACACACACGCACGCACGCAACCACACACACACCTACACATATACTGGACATATTCAGTCGTTTACACACTGTGAAGCTGCTGAGTTCACAACAATACAGCAATATTGTCACTTCAAACCAACTTTTAGTACAGTGAAAAAAAATTATGGTTATTTGGAATGCAAGTCACTTCAGTGTTGTTAGTCACAGAAATTCACAAAATCAAATAGACGATACAAACACCACTCTTCAGCATAAGACACACAGCAGATGTAAAAAGAAGAAAAGAATAAGAGTGGCACTCAGATCCTTCAGTTGCAGAAAACCAAACAGAACACATTAATAAGGAGAAAAACACTGCACTTTTCTGCACTGTAAATAAGGTTCTGACTTTTTGATTGAGTATAAGTGGATTCTCATTTTCTCTGTGGGAACATCAAGGTTCACTTTTTTCTTTAATGCCTGTGCAGTAGATTTACTATGCCTTTCCTCAAAAAAATTATTTATAGCCTTTGAACATTTTTAACATTTCATCATGTTACAAACACAGTTTAGTTTGTTTTTATTGGGATTATATGTTAAGAACCAACCGACAGTGGTGTGTTTGCCACAAACCAAGGAGCAGAGAGCAAATATGATGTCATTTGCTTTAGTCAGGGGAGATTAAACAGAATTTTGAAGCCAATATGCACAGTTCTGTGTGGACTAGAAAATGAACGCTACATAAGTTCAGACCTAAATCCATTTGTGAGACCGTGGCGAGACTAGACATTCAATATCACAAAGGCTCTCCAAAAGCCTTGCAGCTTTTAGTACAGTGATTATAGCAAGAAAAAAGGTTCTCAAAAAACAACAAAAAAAGTGTTTATTGGTCCATAAAATCCCCCAAAAAATGCATTTAAGTTTTCGGTTGTAACATGACTGAAGTGTTTTACGTTCCAAAGGGGCAGGACTACTTTTGCAAGACACTAAGATCGCCGTTAAGTAATTTGGGCAGTGTAGAAAGTCTTGGATAAGAGTTGAATCAGTTGGTGTTTCATCTTTTTTCTATTTATCCCAGTGGACTGCGGCAATTCCTTTGGCACCATACATTGAGGAGGTCTTAGTGGGTTGTTGATTTTGAGGTCCATGTTGTCATATTTACAAACGTCTGATATTTAGCTCCAGAAGTAAACACAAGCCTGCAAACATAAACCTGAACAGGTATGGATCTGGGGCTCGCGCATCTGGCTCGGCCTCAGTTTGCTTGCAGTCGTCAACACTGTTGTGACTCTTTGTTACTATGAAGTCAGGCCTCTGTTGCACCACAGCACTGCAAAATGAATCCAGCTCCCAGTCTATTGAAAACAGCCCAGAAATTGAAGGCAGGAGCAAACTTGCCAATATTGAGCTGCGGTATGAGGTTCATCCACAAGGAGCTTGGGTCCCCAGCAAAACACTGCATTTGTCCACGGATGTGACCTGTATCAATGACGTAGATATTTATAAGCATTTAAAAGCCCAATCTGATGAACTTTTGTGCTTTATTAATGGGATCTGAAAACGAAGACAAATCGTCTGGTCCTGGGAACTGAAGCTAATCAATCTTGGGATTCCAAATGCATCTGTTGAAAGAAACATTTAGAAAAAAGCGGATTAGTAAAAGTGGAATATAAAAAAAAACAAAAAAAAAAAACACCACCACCTAAAACAGAAATCAGTTTCTTCCCAGTGTACTTGTTTGGACAAACAGAGTGGTTTGTCTTTATCATGTCTGGTTTCAGACAAAATAAAAGCCTATAGCTGATCATTTCTCAGCATCCTGTTGAGTCTCCAGAGATTTCTACGAATGATCTACATGCATTTGCCCAAATATTAAATGCTCATTAATAGAAAACAGGGAAAAGATAGTATTGGAATGTCTCTGTTATTCAGACTGCACAGCAGTCAGCAACAAGTCACTTCTTTCCTGAGGGCTGTGAAACAATGATATATGTCTAGTTTGCTAGGGGCGCCTCATTGGCTGAGCAAATAGTCCCCAAAATAACCACCAATCACCGAAGATGCTATCATCAGTCACTCACAGCGGGTATTGTGAAAGAACTAAGGTAAACTTTGTTTGCAAAGAGCTTCAATTATCTACAGTTAAAACTATAGACGAAGCACTAAGATAGGGAAATTTGTAAAGCCAAATTGCTTATATGTCTAATGTGGTGGTGTGCCCAAAAAGAACTTTCAAATTGCAAGGAATGTGTCTACTCTCTTCCTGCTTTGGTCTGATTGGCCACTAGGCAAAGAGGGATCATCCATTACATGCACAGGTAAATAAACACTTGTAGCAATTAAAGTGCCATCATTTGTTATGCATCGTATAGTGTTCGTGTGTGTATGCGCACACTCCCTGCATGCATGTGTCACCAGCTATATGTCTATGCGTGTGCGTGCGTGTGTGTGAATTTGCGTACGCACGGTGACCATTCTCAGGTTTCATTGCCGTTGACTGCCCTTAAATGAATGATTCTGAGGCCCAAGAATCAACAAATGTGACCCCTGGCAGGCCGTAACACAGAGCACAACCTGCCCGTGGATGTGTTTGAAGGCCGCTCCTCTTTCTTCTCCGTCAGCACCTCTCTACCTCCGCACAACAGATGCATTCACTACACAAACTCACATGTGACGCCTGCACTCGTGTTGTTTATGAGGAAGTGTGTTGCCATGTGGTCATGGGCATGTGTATGCTTAGTGGCCTATGATTATTTTACATGTCAGCATGTTGTGACAGAGTGTTAAAATTGTATGAAATTTTGGGTTTTTTAGAGGTTAGGTGTGACATTTTCGGACTTGATTATGTAGGCATGGAGAGACACGTGACAAAGAAAAGCGTTTTGTATCAGCTGGGAAAGCAAAAAGCACAATATGGAAAATGTCGCCTGCTCACATGGCAAAGACCTTTTTTTTTTTTGTTTTAGAAGAATCATGAAGAAAACATAATACTTTACAAATCCATAGTTTACCAAAAAAGGAATAGGCTAGGATTAAGCTCATGCTTAAACTGTTCATGAACTCAGCAGCTTACAACCTACATAAGTACATAAACACACAGTTATATTTAAATATATATGTATATACATCGATGCACATACGTTACATACATGAATACACAATACGAGCTTTTATCATTTTACATTTTAATGGTCTCCTGAGGCTCACCAAGAAAGAACATATTTTGATGTGATCATTCATCTCAGTTTTACGCCAATTTTTTTTCTTTAACATGTTCAATTAACAAAACTCACAATTCATAGTGACTATTAACTTTAATGATTTCTGAATTATAGAAGGTTCGGTGTCGTAGACATTATTTCAGAATCTTTGAATTTTAAAGTATTACTTTAAATAAAAAGTTTATTAACTGGTTCACAATATCCAACTTTATTAATAAGACTAATAAAGCGTTGTTGTGCCTTATCTACTATATCGATTGTTTTATTTGCATTTCCCCAAATTTATTCAAATTTCCCCAAAGCAATATGACAAACAGGGATTAACCAAGGAGTATATCATATGCAAGTCATTTACACTTATTTAATATTTTATTTGAAACAAAATTAAGTTTCTAGTAGACTACTGCAGAAATGTGTTACACAAACTCCATCACAGTTGAAGTTTTGTGGTTAAGTGTTTCTGAAACCACCCTGGTTTCAGTATATTGTTTTTGTTAAGAAAGGAGTCTAGACTTTTTGTGAATATATTTTCCACAAGTTTTGGAAATTGTAGTAGCACTAATATCAGTCTATAATTTAATATTTGCTTGACACCACATTTATGGACTGGAAACACCTCAGCGATTCTCATTTTGTTAGGAAAAATTTTAGTTGAATCTGTTAAAAGTACAGACGAGAGGTTTAATAATACTATAAATTACTTCATTCACAATAGCCATAACAATATCATTACAATCGTTGGCTTTCTTACTTTAACTTTTTTTAACTACCAGCAAAATGCATTTGCTGCTGAAGAACTTGACACCTTGCAGTTCAAAAGAAGGTAATGGTGCGTCTTTCCCTTTATTGTCTTCTGTTCTTGCATATGTGCGGTATGTCATCTTTAGTCCAGCTCTTCTATCTCCTCATTCTTTTCTTTGGTAGTTGCTTTCAGTTGTTGGAATTCTCCAATCAAGCGCATCAGACTTATCTGTTACCTTACCACCTTGCTCAGTTCTTCTGATATGGCAACTTGGAGCTATTTTTGCTGCATGTTAACTGTTAAGAATCCTGTTAGTTCTTTGCTGATAGTGGAAGCACATGTAGTCAACAGGTGCTTAAAAATGGAAAAAAAAATAGCAGGAATGACCTAGCAAATGTAAAAATGAGCTGAATGTCAAATTCAAAACTTCAACATTTCCTTTTTTTTGTCCTTCAAATATTCAGTAGACTTTTACTAAACTGCAGGTCAGATCTATATAGGCCCTCTGAGTCAGCAGCCATCTCAGAACGGCATCAAGGCCTTTGTAGCCAAAAGGTCACAATCCACAATTTTCTGCACCATTGAGTGTTAAAGGCAGCAGTAAGGAAGGCAGCTACTTGATCTGAAGAACACAATGAGGGCATTATATCGATTTGTTCCTTTTTTAAGATACAAGTGTGAACACCTGCTGGGTTTAAAACCAGTGGAACCAAACTAAGAATTACAAGTGTTAGTGTTGAGAAGGCATGGCCTGTTTATCTCTAGCAAGGAGTGAGGTTTTTTTTTTTTTTTTTTTTCAGTGCCATTTCAAAACTTCTTAAATTTTCTACAATAGCATTTCTAAATTGTAAAGTCCTTTTATTGAAATGCCAGAAAAAAGTGATCAGTATTTTCTCTGGATTGTCTGAGGCATAGAGTAATGCAGAATTGGTCAGCTGGCTGCAAATAGACTAGTAAGCAAAAAAGTGCTGTATGAAATTTTTACAAGTAACAAAAATGGACAATCAATGAATGTTATCGATGCAACTGTTTTATGGCTAACACTCAGTGTTACTTTAGCAGCAGTAGGCATACATGTTGCTTGTCTGTTAGAAATAAAACCAAGTAGGTCATGTTATATGCATTTTTGCTCTAGCATCATATTTTATTTTTAATAATTAATACTGGGAGAAACATTTCTGTCAGAAAAGAAGCATACATGGCAAAATACAATGTCTCTCTCTTCCCTCAACTCCAATCGCCATTCCTATCTCCTCCTCCCCATGTAGCCCTCGTCTTACTCCCCCCTCCTCCTCCTCCTTCTCCTCCTCCTCCACTTTCTGCATGCTTGATAGTGGGATCACATGAGGTGAAGACTTTCTCATATTAATAATTGTTGAACTTGTGTTTAGGGACAAATAAATGATGAACATATTTAGAATGTTCTTTGCAGATTCTGATGATTATTCTGAGTGGAAACCCAAGAGAACTGTTGCTTTCTTTGTTGAGTAAAAGATGGGACAGTTTTCCACTAAACCGGTTCCAGTGCTTAACCTGGGAAAGTGCTATTTTCAGTTCTTAACTGGTAGTATAAAAGAACCAGTTTGGCTTTAGACAAGTAGAGAATCAGGGTGGAGCCAGGCCATTGAGACACTAAATACATCTCTTTTGGTAATGTTTCGTCTCCTGGCTGTTGTATTCAAAAATTAAGTTTAAGTATTCAAATCACATCATTTCTGAGATAAAGAATGGGACTCACTGTAAATAGATTTCCTCACGGCACCATTCTGAAATGTGCTAAATCTGTTTTCATCAACACACGTTTAACGTATTTGTGAACCCTTCTCACGAACTTCGGATGCTACCAGTAGCACTTTATCTAAAGTCAGATTCATTAACACCACCTGAAAAACAATAGCATTTAAAAAGTGGGTCATAAACGCTGTTCATAGTTTTAGTGGAAAATTGCACAAACTTGCTAAATTAATGCTAATCCATTTTTTATTAATAACAAAAATTGAGAAATTCTTAGAACTGGAGTTTAAAAAAAATTTGCTCACAACACATTGATTGGTTGTTGGTCTCCTTTATCAAAGTTAACATATTCTTGATGTTACGAAAAATGAATATCGTATCTAAAAGTCTTCATGTGAGTCCTGTCTTTCAACTGCTACTGACAGAAGCTGCCTGTTAATGTGATCGGTGTTGTATTTGGGGACCACCAATGTCTGAGTGATCCCATCTTTGCTTGACTTTTCCTTGTGTTTTAATATTCTTTAACTCCCACAGATACAAAAGGAGAAACACACCAAATTCAATTACAAGTACAAAGATTCGGGCCTCTACTCGGCTCTCTCTGCTGCACAGAGAACTCTTAAACATATCAGGAGATGGAATGAGGAAGAGGAAAAAAAAAATTTGGGAGTGAAGTACTGTGTAACAGAGGGACAGCCCAAAAAGTGAGCTGACTTTCTCACTGATCTGTGCAAATATCCCTCCCTTCTTGTGTTTATACGGTAATTCTGAAAGTCTAACCTGCACATCAAGTTGTCCCAGAAAAAAAATATCTTCTCCGCAACAATTACTTCAAGAGCTCATTCTTTCATCCCACAATTTTTTTTTTACCTTTTTTCTCCTCCTTTCTTTCTTTCTTTTCTCCGCCTGACTTTTACAACTTCCT